CGGTGACCGGGAGGGGGTCAGTGCCCGCCTCGCTGCCTGGGATGGGCTCCATCTCCGGGTCAGCTTCGCCGGCGCCCCCCTCCCCGGGGGACGCCGCAGTCGCTGCCGCCTCTGCAGCCACGGCCGCCATTTTCTCCTGGCTTCTCCCTCCTCCGATTCGGGCTGCGGCGGCAGCGGCGGCCCTCTTCAGTTCTTAAAAGGTTGGACAGGTGCCAGCACAAGCTCCATGCCTGGGCACTGGGAGCTGAGTGTCAGCACTTATCAGAGCTCCACATGCTGCGCAGGGTCTTTCAAAGTTCTTAAATGGCACCAGGAAAGCTCACAGATTTGTTTTTGCTTTTACCAGGTGCAGCTACTGCCTGTGAAACTACTTCTTGATGTACTTTCTTTTTTCTTTCTTTCTTTCTTTCTTTCTTTCTTTCTTTCTTTCTTTCAATGAATTGAGGACAGGATCTACAGGGTGTACAGGATCTCACTATGTAGATCAGACTCATAGTGATTCTCCTGTTTTTGGCCTTCCAAGCCCTGGGATTACAGGCACATGCCACCATGCCAAGTCCCAATTGCTGTCTCAGCATGCTGCAGGGGCGGGGCCAGCACAGCACGCTGTGGACCGAACCTTGGCCACTGTGCTCTGCCAAAGCAGGCACTTTAATCCACTGAGCTGTCTGGCTGGCCCATTCTTAATGTACATTGCACAGAAAAGTGTGAAATATATAAGAGGAAATACTGAATAAAGAGCTTGTTGAGCAGATGCAACCTCCCTATATATTTATAAAATATGTCTTTTGTTCTACTTTAGATTTTAACAGCAGTGTTTTAACACAGTAAGCTTGTAGGCTTTAGTAATAATCTTACTGAGTTACTTTACCTTGCAGAATATTTTTTTCTACTATTAGAAGTTAAGAACACCAACAAGCATAACAAAAAAAGAACAAAAAAGCAGTCCCTGCTTTTGCAAGCAGGTCTGGCATCCCAGGGTAGCCATGTTACTTTCATATTAGTCATAAACTGTCTCTCTGAACAGCAACTTCAGATAGTGACATCCTGTAGACATGATAAAATGAGATGAAGCATGCTACTTTGAAACTTCATTACTTCATTTAAGCATAGACACAAACAAGGCCACTGTGCCACCCACAAAGGCTCGCAAAATACCCTCTGTGAGCCAAAGTGAAATGGTGCTTCTTTGTCAGTATAGCTTTTCTCTGTGCCAGTCTCTTTTTCTGTTGCCCAAGACTGAAACACTAAAATATAGTCTGTCCTGAAATTAGCCCTCACAAAGTCCAAATCCTGTAAGTGGGGCTTGGTAACACTTTCATGTGGAGAGATCTCCAACTCCCCAGTGGTGTATGATTTTCTTTCTGTAACAAGAAATAAAGCCAACTTCTTCAGGTATAGGGATGTTTCTTTTGGCTTCTGGCTAGAGGATATGAAAAGAATAAATAAATTAACTATTTTTTATTAAACATTTATTATTTTTATAATGTTACTCCAAGTGCCTAGAAGTTTAGAGTTAAAATCTTTGAGAATATGATAAAAGTGACAGACCATCTCACTAGGAAAATGAATGTCATGCATTCATTCACACACACTTTTAGAGAGGCTCATAGACTTCTCTGATTAGAAGTGAGGGTCTGGTCATTAAGATCAAATCTCTGCTACCAAGGAGTTCAGAATTAGTCAAGGAAGTAAGGAACATATTTCTTTCTTTCTTTTTTCAAATTTTTAGTAGCCCATGTTTTCAATACAAATAGTATCATGGGAAGTTTGTAAACAAACTAACAGTTCTTTTTTTTTGCCATAATTTTATTGATAAACAAATAGCAATGAGACAGTTTCAAATAAAATTGGTAGGACAGTTTCAATAATTAGCACACTGCATACATTCTTCTTAGTGGTTAATTGCTGTACAAGATGTGGACCTGACATCCCATTTACAAACACCATGAGAACAAACCATTCTATTCATTAAGAGAATGTAACTATATATCTATCCCAACATCTCTGAATACACAGATACAAAATGGACATTCATCTGTATACCTTTTTTTTGTTAAGTTCTGTTATTTGAATATTATAGGTGTGTAAACTCAGCAAAATATTCCAAAAGAGTCCAGCAGCTCACAATAGTATTGGGTCTTCTGCTTCACTGGCAATGTCACAAATTGATGACCTGAGTCCCCCACAGCTCA